AGAGAGAGAGAGAGAGAGAGAGAGAGAAGCAAAGCTCGTATTTATATAATAACGGTAATGACTATCGACGAGATGAGACCCGCAGACAATGCAATCACACTATGAGTACAGAAGTACTGAAATAGTGAACCGCATAAACACGAGCTTTGGATGAAAATTGCATTACAGATTGGATGGGCCCACAGGCCGGGCAGATATCAACTCCGCCCGTATTAGCTGTAGACGAAAATTAGTTGTTTTCAGACACCAAAAAAGTAGACAAAAAACTACTATATATATCATATACTCTATTATATATAAGCGCTTAATATAAGTAACTCATAGTGTTTTTATATCGATATTTGAGATGGGAATGAGTGCAACATTTGTTTAGTCTCAGGAATTGTTGCTCTCATACAGGCCTGTGCTCTGTTGTGCCGGTGCTATGGCTATGACTATAGCTCTACTCTTGTAATAGTCTATCGCTTATCAATTTCGGACACAAATGAAAGTGAGAGTCAGTTATAAGAAGGGAATGAAGAAAACACAACAAATACACAGAAGAGGAATAAGTTATACGCCATGAATGAGATAAAAGATAAGACTAATGAAACTTACTTTACAGAAGGGATGAAAATACTGTACAAAATACATACACATAGAGAGCTAGTGTTAGACTAGAGTATAGTTTTTATCTCACAAATCAGATTCGCGATACAGTGTGCGGCTAAACGTACTGTATATCTATAATAGCAATAGTAATAGTAATAATAATAATCATAAAATTTCTTTCGTACAAAAAACTCAGCGTTAAGTTAAAGGAGAAGTTAGCTATGGCTGCAAACTATGTATGGCTTATAAGCCTATGAGGCTATGAGAGAGGCTATGAGCCTATGAGGCACGTCTTGTTTTAAAGATTTCATTTATACTGTTTTATATACACTATAAGCACATGAGAAAGAAAAACAGAGAAATTGTAGTGAAATGTTTTTATGCAACACTAATGTAATTTAGTTTGTTTTTTCATAGTTTATGTGTTATTACACCTTAACTCACATTATTTGCTTGCGTTTGGCTAATGGATGAAATCAGGCGCTGATTCTTAAATAATGCATACATTTTATGCCAACTTTTTTCTCACTAATACATTGCTCTCGCAATTCAATGATAGAGAGAGTGAGCGAGAAGTGTATGGAAAGCATAGATTGGGAGCGAAGACTCGTTTAGAACATTATGTTTGCATTGATTCGAGTTTGACGTCGAGTGATGAGCGATGAGTCAAACGCGTGAATGACTGACAGCCGGGAGAGCCCACCCCTCCAGAGCCCGTGTAGTGCTTTAGACTGGGATGCGATCCACCGCTACTGCTGTCGCTGTTGTGATCGCTTGGACTCATTATTAGCGGCAAGTGTTCGGCGGGTGAGTACGGACTCGGAGGTGAGTGCAGAGATCGGGGAGAGTTTGTACGCGGAGTCATCGGCGACGGCGATAGCGATGACGAGTTGGGACTCGCGGGCACTGAACCCGACTCTTTGAAACACGAGGACTCGTAGTGTTTATTGAGGTATGACTTCAACGCAAACGATTTGTTGCATCGCTGGCACCGGAAGTGCTTGAAAGCGCTGTGGGTTTGCATATGAGCCCTAAACGCGCCGTCAAATCAAACATATAATTTACTCATTAATATTGTATTGAATGCACTTTTTGTGTTTATAAAAGGTATAAATCATTGCTTGCATTATATATTAAAAGCAAAAATGTATTTTTTAAACCAAAAAAACTGTTGTTACGAATGGAAAGGTATATAATTTGTACCTCAGATTTGATCGATCGGCGAATGCCTTTCCACAGTGTGCGCACCCAAAAGGCTTTTCTCCCGTATGAGACCGCATGTGGCCCTACATTGGGATAAGATTTATGAAATGAGTTATACATTAATTGTGGGATGACGTGCACCGGTGTGTATGTGCTGTATATGAGGCGCAACACTGAACATACCTGCAAAAGCCAGGGCCTCGAGAATGCTTTACCACAGGCATCACACTTATGGCTCAGATTATGTGTGAGCTATGAATTGAATGGCATTTGTATGAAAAATGGTGTGGATATGGCGTACAAAAGACATGTAAAGAGTACTCACCACATGCATAGCGAGAGCAGGCATAGAGACGTAGACCTTTGAACAGGTCGGGCACTTCTTGGCCAACTGGGAGTCAGGACTTCGATGTGTCTGTTTGTGTCGCGAGAGGTTAGAAGAGGTGGCGTAATGTTTGCCACACTCTGTACACGTGTATCGGGCCTTCTCTTTGGGTTCGGGCTGTGGGGGCGCCGACACCGCCGACGCGTTTCGTCGTCGCGATCGGCCATCGCTGATGAAAAAGGCATCGTATGTATAGCTAACCGTTACGTTAGACTTCGCGCACTGACTGTCGCTCGTGTCCTCGACTTTGATGTTATAGTCGTTGCTATTGAGTGATAGGGAGAGAGTAGACGCCGACGACTCGGGCCTCTGCGGCGAAAGCGGCGGTTTTGGCGATTGTTGTAAAGAATTATTTATACATTTATTGCCCTTTTTATTGCTTAAATCTAATTCTTTCTCCTCTGCGGACTCGTCAGCGATCGATGTTTCATGACTTGAGCTCTTGTCGTGCACTTCTTGCCGATGAATATATCCTATAATTGTTGAACATTGAGATTGAGAGCCAAAAGGAAACACTTTAAACACATCTCAAACACAAAACAAATTATTTATTCAATAAATAAAGTCAATATTCAGACAAAAGGTTTATTATTATTAGATATTATGCACTTTTTCTGTTCAACACTTTTATTCTGGCCTTTAATACATGAAATACAGGCGAAGAATAACTATCGTTTCGGTGCCTATCGTTATGTATTAATATTATGTTCAATAATATACACCATTATATTATATAAAACATTAAACAACAGGTTTCTCATGAATATTGAGTCAATTTCTATTCAGCCTCTCCTGTCTCTCGACTCTTGTCTCGCATTTTGTCGAGTGTTTTGTATTATATATTATATTAATATTACTTTACGCGGACTTAACTAAAATATGAGTGAATTGATTTCATACCAACAAAAAACAACTCCACTTTATGCCAAAAAAGTCAATATTTTAAATCATAATTAATGTTTAAAATTGATTTTTATACTCAAAGTCGATAAAGAATCTAAAGCTAAAAATATAAAGAATTATGAATGGAGTCTATAATTAAGATTAATGTTTATAATATCTCAAAAGTTTTAGCTTTTGTTGCAATAAAAAACTGCTAAATTATATTAACATAAAATATAAACAATTCAAAAGACTCTCTCTCTCTCTCTCTCTCTCTCTCTCTCTCTCTCCTCTTATATTGATTATTATGTACTGCATATAAAGAACGGCTTAAAATTTCAAAGAATTCTTAACTTGAATTTAAAACAAATTAATAAATAAATAGTAAAAATAAAAAAGTACACCAAATTGTAAAGAAAGGCCTAATGTATCTCATTTTGTATTAATGAAAAAATTCCTAAAAAATAACATTTTTAACCGTATTTTATTTTTCAACGAGTTATATATAATATTAAATAGACGGCAAAATTTAGGCTCAGAATATATATAAGAAATCAAAACCCAAAAGTTAAGTCAAGAATATTCAACAATCATTAATTCCGGGATCTTTTTCTCGTTCAAACATTTGCTTCCCTTATCTGATATATAGTCTACATATAAATAGTCTTCCCATTAAAGACTCATTCGTTGACAAGAATTATAACTTTTTTTCGTATAATATATTTAGCACTAGAAGTATCACTAAATTTATGTAAATGAAATGAATTGTCTTTTTTATCAACAAAACACAATAATGTATATATTCTGTGTACTGACATATACTGAATACATAGAGTGTATATTTGAATTAAAATATCCTGAAAAGACTAGTTTTGTATTAACAAAAAAATGATTCAATTCTCTCTGTAATTATAAATTAAAGAATTGAAAATAATATACAATTTGTTCACTTTTTTGGGAGATATTTGAATCTCTTTTAGTCGTATTTCAAATATTCATATTAAAGGGAAATTCTATCAAAGTTTCCCAAATGTGTGTTTTGCAAACATTTTGGGCTAATATTTATATGAAACATATTGCCGACCGAAAAATTTATGCAGTATTTTCCCAAAGCTATTATTTTGTTAGTAATACAACCAATTTATTATCAGAGCTCTCATGCCTATCCCTATATTTTAATGCAATAAAAGTAAACTATAACATTTTGAATATATTTTCATTCATATATGGGTTTTTGTCGATCACAAACAGGAAGTTACTTTAAAATAGTTAGAAATTAGTATTGATTTTGAAATTATAAATATTTTGTATTAATAATATATTTATAAATTGTCAATAATTTTTTATTCATAAATTTAATATTTTTCTACGATTTTTAGAAATATTTCTCAAAATCAAAATCATTTAATACAATAGAAATCATTGGATGTTATGAAATGGATTAGTGGTATCTGTGATAACATATACACCCATAATAATGATATATGGCTTAATTTGAAGGCCTTGTAAAGTCCAAAGAGGTATCTTTGGGTGAAATCGGAAGACCATATCATATCATCTCTTCTTTCTTCTGAATTTCATTATATATTTATTTATCCATAGAATAGAAGAGAATTCTCTGCAATTCGACCGCATTTTGATCGGCGAGTAAATGATTGAAGATTTTTGTATTTATATTTTTACTTCAAACCACTTCTAACTGCTTCTCCATTATTGTGGACTAAACTCTTCAAAACAATACTTAATTACAGAACGAGTTTCAGTAAAAGAAGAAGACTTTCTTAAAACAAATGCATTCAATAGTCAATAGAGAATAATTAAATGCATGAATTTGTATTTGATTTAATAAACAAATGAATCCATTTATAAAGTATTTCACTTTGACGGAAAGTATTTGTTGGATAAATATTCAATTTGTGTTCAATCACTGAAATTGTTTCCAAAGAAAACCCCAAAAATCATTTCAAATGGTATTTAAATTAAAGATTTAAAGTCTGTTTTTATGGCTAATTTGTAATAAAAGGTTTAGCGTTGGTATGAATTGCACGAAATCTTTTAGCAATCGTTATATTAGTCACGAATCGTATGAATCGGAAGAGATGGTCGACTCGGTTGTGGTGGACAGACATTAGTGGCATTTCCACCAGTGATCGCAAAACAACGTAAGGCACGCAAAAATATGTGAGATATTAAAATAATATAACAATATTTGTATTTCTCGTTTTTATATATCTATGGGCTGTAGTGTGTGTTTTCGTGATACAATTGCTGCACAACACACACACAGACAGACACATCCATACATACATATAAACACAACAGCTTTTATTATATCATATAATCATTCTATCATAATATCAAACAAAAGTATAGCAAAGTATTGCAATTTCCCCTTTTTGTGTGCCACTAATAATTGGCTGCATTTGTATAATATGAACGAATTGTCAAAATAATGTCAGCTAAGGATAAAAAGCAACGAAAACTTTGGCATTCCTTCGGTATTGAAGAGTACGAGTGCACCAATCAATCGGATGCCCAAAGTTAGCACAATGTTAGCCAAATGCGAATTCCAGCCCAAAACAACAACTATATCTAAACTCAAACTCAAATTGATGTCAAAAATATAGACTTTTTTCCCCTCTCATCGTATATTACAAACAATGCATAAAAAGCCGATGCGTTTAAAAACAATGTATAAAATATAATAACGATTGACGTTAAACATGTGAAAGAGTTTCTCATTAAATCTCATATATTTTGTAAGTGAATATATTATTGGATGAAAGAGCGGCTCAGCAGGTGTTGCGGATTCATGGAGTATATGAGCTCTATTTCTGGATGCCGTTTATATGACTACAGGGGTCTTCACCAGTGACCACATGCTAAGCAAAAGGATAGAGGAATCCGGTGTTTATCTTTACTTATGGACTGCACTTTTTTGTGAAGTCGTTTTCTTACAACAGCAACAGTTGAGGCGTTGGATGACTGGAAGTACTGATGAGATTCTGGTGTCTGACTGACGGCTTTCACTGATTACGAGATTTAGGACTCCAAACAACTTCACAATAGATTGAACTCTACTTCTAGTCTTCTATTCACTTATATTCTGTACATTATATGAATTTAGTCGCAAAAACTACTGACAAAAAACTGAGAGATCACAAGAGAGTGAAAGCCAAAGGCAGAGAATTTTTGGCCTTAACTCTACATCCATTTCCATTGCAATCCTTCAGCGCTGATGCGATGATACTTTTGGTTAATACTTATATAACGAGAAACGCCTATAAAACAGACTAATAAGAAGGCATCAGTGCCTGTGAGCAGAGGGAACACAAGGGATCAACCAAACCATTCTCACATCACATAACTATACTGAACACTGTTTGCCCGCATTGAAGGCATTGTTGAATCTTAGAGTAAATCTCTCAAACATATCATAGATTTTTATAGTCAAACATTAACTAACTTTTATGACTTAATATAAATTTGCTTTTCTGTGAATTGTGTAACACTTGTTGACAACAACACAATTCAATAGAGAAAAAGATGCATTGAATGATAGAATAGAGAGAGTATTATGATTACTATTATATGATATGTATTTTGTAGTGAAAGCTATATTAAAGCATTAATCTCTAATAATCCATTGTATTGTAGAGTCATTTTAGTGAACATAAAAATAAGTTGAATGAATAAGTTGTTGCGCTGGCGATAAAAGAGTGCTCATAAAATCACGGCACAGGCAGTCGCCCATTGAGTTCCACTAACTGTATGTGCTTTTGATGGGTATTTGTGCTCAAGAATAGCATTGGGATAATGTGTGGCGCATACACACCAACAGTAGATATTGATATATTTATATATAAATATATAGCATATATGGCATTATTCGCTAAATTATACTATGGTATAGCCATACAAACACACACATACATGTATATACGTACACACACTGTACACACCATATAGATTGCAATATTCTGTATATTCTTGTGTTATACCCATAGACTCAATACTCAACAGTAAGTTATATGTGTTGAACTGAGACTAAAGGCACGAACCGGGCTTAAGGAACGGCAGCCAAACGGGCAAAAGTGCAATACTAGTAATCCATTCGCTGTCAGATAATAGCATATTTTAAATGATAGGATTTCAAAGAGAAGAGACTGTTTCAAAGGTTTACATTGTATGGAGACGTGTTGTATATATGAGTATATGATTTGCTTTACTATCTCATAATAATGTGCTTATATTTTGTCTTCTTTTCCACAACTCTCTCTCTCTCTCTCTCTCTCTCTCTCCTGTAATTTTAATGAACTTAAAGCAATAACTTTTAAGTTGAAAATAAGTGCGATTAAGGTTTTATGAGGTATTACCACATGTCTGTGTGTATGTATCTCTCTCTCTCTCTCTCTCTCTCTCTCTCTCTCTCAACATTCAGCTCTTGCCTTATACTTAATATCGAAAGATTTGAATCTCTATTACATGATATTCTGTTGTAAAGAAATGATCACAACATAGAGAAGGAGAGATACATACACACAGACATGTGGTAATACCTCATAAAACCTTAATCGCACTTATTTTCAACTTAAAAGTTATTGCTTTAAGTCTTTTAATAAAAAATTCCACAATAACTTGTTTTCCACACACAATCACATCCACAGCCAATACATCCAACCATTGCCACCACATCTCACTTCAATTGTTGAATCACATCCAACACAATAACCATTCAATACATTATACCACACATGCACTCAATATTTAATGCCGTTTTCCACTCGTATTACATATATTTTTCCAAACAATACAAATAAGGATTTAATTTTTACAAATATAATTCTCAATCTAAATATTTTACATGTTTGTTAGCCACTAAGCCTTAGCCCCATTATGACAGCCTTATTGTCATTCTTGTAGATTATAAGCAATGTATTGTATATTTAAATTTGTTGATTAAATAATAATCGTTTTTAATGTAAAATTTATTTTTAAAATCAATTTTAAGCGTAAATATTTTAAAACACGAGTTCCTATATTCAATATAATTAATTATTTTTAGTGGTTTTTAAAATTGTTTAAACAAATATTGATTTTTTATTATTATGTTATAGGAATACCCTGTAGTCTGAGTTTGAGTAAAAATACACTCAAACGCTAAAATAAAATGTGTTTTTTTATTAAAATTAACTATTTATGAAATAATATTATATTGGATATGAAAATATATAATGTATTTAAATCCTGTAGATTTAACAATTTGAATAAATTCATAAATATTTGTCAAAAAGTAGTTTTCATTATTTAATTCACAAAAAATATATATTGTGTTTGCTTTTAATTTTTACGATATAAAAAATTATTCAGAAACATTTAAACGGCGCTACAAATTGGTGTGAGATTTGAATAAATTGAATAAATGAGTGGAAATTGCTTTAATTAATGTTGATATACACTGTTATTTGAGTCTCAAATTAAGCCATTTATTGAATAATAAAGTAATTAAATGTGATTTAAGAATGAATGAGATAATCAAGAGATAAATTATTTAAAAACATCACTTTCAATGAGTAAATCAAATATTTAATTAGCGTTTCATAAATTATATTTCGGCAATACATAAATGAAAGGAAACTCATTATAATGTTATCATATTTTGACAAACTATACAATAAAAGTGTATGGTTTTGGTGTTTCGCTTCCATTTAGAAAATAGGTATTTATATTTAGGATTTGAATTATTATTGTGCGACAGAAGGGCTACTAAAACAAATTTGTCTCTTATAGGCCATTGGGGGGACATTTGCCAGCAATAGATGGGAATGGATGTGGAAGAGGAATGGATTGCGAGTTGGATAGCACTTGTATGCTATAGTGAAATGACATCACAGCCATTGTAGAGTCGTATGAGCGCTAACAAGTGTCTTATATTAGGTCTACATTTATGTGTCGGGACTCGACTCCTATGCAGAGGCTTTGAATCGAATTGAACATTAAAATTACAGGAGAGAGAGGGAGAGAGAGGGAGAGAGAGGAGAGAGAGAGGCACACATCTGTTGTGTCTCTCGAATCGCATCCAATACTAGACTACATATGAACTGCAATCGTATATGAAGTGAAGCTCATATGCAATGCAAACACCATTAGTGCGAACACAATATAAAACATACAACAACTCCGGGCACAAGAAGAAGGGGTCGAAACTTTGTTATGCGACTAAAGTAAACATTTAAAGCAATACACGCGACACACACAGCAAAAAAGTGTGTAGACTTAGACTCATCATTATTATCCTTTAGGATTTGTATAGATTAGTGTATTATTGAGGTGAAGGTATTACGTGCGACAATAAATCGTTGTTGCAGTCAAACCCAATATAAGCCTTTATTTTTTGAGCACAAATAAAATGCTATTTGAACACGAATTTGCAAATATATACCAGATTTGGTGATTAAATAAATATAATTATCAAAATTCTAGCTAATACTACCAGGTTCATTTAAAAATATTCAATATAAATCTAGAATACCCCAAATGTATACATGAGCCGTATATTAGGATATGTTGACTAACCAATTGTCTGAATTGACAAAATATAAACTATTAAAAAGTGTTAAGACATACCATTATAACAGAAGTTAAGGTCGAGGTAATGAGGGTTAGGCGATGTGTTGTGAGGGTATGGTTGCGGTGCTGTCTCGCCTTCGGTAGGACTAGAGGGTTGTTTGTAAGACCACTTCCCGCTGTGGTCTATGGGGTGTTTGGCCTTTTTGACCAGAAATGAACGCGGCATTGCCTACTATACACGTTAAGGCATACCATTCAACAATTACCCGACGCTTATATATCTATATACAGTGCAACACAAACTGTTTTCAGCGAAACAAAGTTATTAGAAAATATAATAAATATATTTGACATTTACTATGAATATATGAATTTATATGAGCTTACTCACCCAATGGTAATTAAAATAAATTAATTTCTACATAGATCTGTTTTCCATTTGAAAATTATACACACACAAAATTACATATGATTATTTATTTATAATTAAATAACTATTTTAGTTTAAAACATTCTTTGAGAAAATATTGATTGAGTTTTTAAAATATGATTTTTTTGTGAAATCACTGTTTGATTGTTGAGAAGCGATGAGGAGAGAGAAGAAAAACGCAAAATTGTTATAATCTTTTGGAGCAAAAAAAGAAAAAAGAAGATAACTTTTAGTAGTAGTTATGACTTGAATTGCATTGCATTTGATGTGATGGCAGAGATGTGACTGAAAGTGCGATACTGTGTGTATGTGTGTTAATTCACGACTCACTTCTCCCTCTCTCGCTCTCTCCCTCTCATTCACTCGATATCTTTCGGTGCATTCGCTTAGAGATGAATGGAAGCGCCGAACACAACAATACCAGCAATACTATCGTCAGTGCATAGCCTGTAGAGCATGAGCACAATGAGCGCAACCACACTCTTAAGGCCCATACACTCGACGATTGCGTCAAAATATAACTACAATCACAATTGATTGACCGAAATATTTTAGTTTCGCTGCAAATATCAAACACCAAACAAAACAACAAAAAAATACAATATTAATGAATTAAATTATAATGAATTTTCTAAATCAAAAACCAGTCAATCAAATAAATCTAATTTTGATATCAATTTAATGAATTTATTACATATAAATGTCTAATATTTAGACAATAGATAACTAGTGGCGAAAACAGCGACTCTTTCTTCCATACAATCCGTGTATTATTAATACTAATGTCAGTACTTTATGTGATATATTATTTTGATTGTTTCCAGAAGAAAACTCACACAAAAGTCCAAGAGATATAAACCGTGTCTCAATTTTTACACAAAATCCATTTAAATACAAGTCATTAAAACATTTGTTTACACTTATATTAAAGATTAGGCTTTATTAGTAGTTTTGCGAGTGAAAGACACAATTGAAAACTATGAGCCAAATAGATATCAAAACTAAAACAAGTGTTTTGGCCGTTGAAATGACACTTTGCTGTATAGCAGCACAGACTGAAGGCTGTGTACAACTTTCGCGTTAAAAATAAGGACACATCGATTCTATGCGTTAACCACTATTCGGCAAATGCATCAAATATTTTAAAATTTTTAATACATTTGTTAGAATACTTTTACTTATTGTTATTTTAAGAATTCTAAATGTTTTTGACAACAATTAGTTTGATTTAATTTGTCAGATTTGTTTAATATATCTCAATATAAAAAGCATTATTCCATTGAAATAACATTAATCCCATATACTTAACATTGACTATAAGGCATTGCCATAGACTTAGCATTGTGTAAAATCCCCCATGTTAAATCTATGTCAAAGACTTAATCTGAATTCCCATAGAAACCCATGTAAAACATTTTCCCATAGCAAAAGATCCCAAGATTTCCCATATTATCCTATGAGAGTTTCCCAATGTTAAAGTATAGCCATAGGGTTAACATGGCATCTCATGTTTAATCTCATAGGGTAGGGTAGGGGAGGGAAAAGGGGCCGAACGATCCTATAAACCACATCTTCACATATGAATTGTGGTTAAAAATTGCGTTTACAATGAGTTGTATTGATACGAGTTTTTATTAAATTTACGCTAAAAAATACTCAATTTTTAAATGTATAATAAAATGTAATTTATTTTCTCTTTTCAAAAGAGTTCAATAATTATTATTCCAACGATTATTATTGTTTGCCATTATTAGTGTCTAATGTTTAATAAATTAGTTTTATTTTTGGATTCTTATAATCAGAATAAAAGAAATGTGTTTTTTTGTTGAGTTTTTGTGAAATTGCGTGAGAAATGAAAAATGTTTAGTAAGACTGATATTCTGAATAGTGATAGCAATCAACTTATTTAGTTAAAACTTAAATGCATACAAAAAACTCTAACTCTGGTCCCAAATAAAAGTGCTTTTATGTGATTTACTTTCTTCCTCTTCGCTAACAATAACTTTTTACCCCAATCTCTCTCTCTCTCTCTCTCTCTCTCTCTCTCTCTATACGATTGCAGTTAATATGTAGTCTAGTATTGGATGCGATTCGAGAGACACAACAGATGTGTGCCTCTCTCTCTCTCTCTCTCTCTCTCTCGCGTTACACATCATATCTATTTCCCGTCTCTTCTCAACATTTAGCCGATTCTAGTTTTAAACAAAAAATAACTGATAAAAACTCTTTAGAGTTTTCATGTAGTCATTCATATATATTATGTTATATAAAGTTTTTACTGTTCAACAAATCGTTTGCCGACTACTAATCCCTCAATCCGTTTACTCGCAACACAACTCTACGACACGACTCCGCCATATGTTTCCTTTACTCCTTAGAGAACTGATTGCTGCGACCATTGCTTCCCATAACACAACACAACCCTTAAAATTATACAATTTTTTAAAAGCCAAAAGAAAGATATATAAAAATTAGTTATCTTTCGTTAAACATTAAAAGTACGTCAAAACTCATAATAAATGAGCGCTAATTTATAACTGTATTAAATGTATTTCTTTTGTTGCGTTAGTTATTGATTCGCAACACTAATGCTAATCATATTTCTATATTAAACATTTAAAACATTTTTCATTATTATTTTGTATTCAAACGTATGATAATATCAGTCATCACTCCAACGAGTTTTCATTAGATTTAATGTAAAGAAAAAATGCACATATCTTTGTGCCATTCATTTATACGTTTAATTCAATATTGAATTTATTGTATAATTAATAACGTATAAAAATTATTTGTACATTATTTAAAAATATTATTATAGAAACGATTACTTCAACACAATATTTCTATTAATAATATAAATTCAATGAAACATTAGTTAATAATTTTTTAATCAATTAAATAAATCGATTGGATTTTGTGTGCTTTGGCGTCGAGTGAAGGAGATTTGTATAGTAATGGCTAATACGAGTTGATCCTAAATTGAATCGATTAGTCTCTGCTTATGACTCTCTGATTCATCTATTATTTCGAGTTAACAACAAATAAATCTCCGAAAATCATAATATTCTGTCAATTCTATCATTTGTTGACTTATAAAACATTTATTAAACCTAAAGAAATACAACAGAAAAAAAACTGAGGAGAAAAGAAAACCGAGAGAAGTGTTGAATTGTTTGCTTAAAATATGAAATTGTTTGCACTGAATATAATATATTATAATAAATTAAATTAAATAATCCAAACATAAAAAGGCTGTGCAAACAGTACTGTAAGAATAGGTGATGCGTTGATCTGATTAAAAGCTCAAATAGTGTTTGAATTGTTTGCATTCATTTGATAAGTGATAACTTTGTGACCAAATATATAATAAAAAAGAAAAACGAAAGAATTTTTTCTTGTATTTTAATTTATTTGTTGGCATCTCTTCACAAAAATTGAACAAATGGAGCGATTTAGGTCTCTCTCTCTCTCTCTCTCTCTCTCTCTCTCTCTCTCAATCTTTGATTCACTATTCACTTAGTGATAGGGAAAAGTAGTGCGAGTAAAGCAAAAGTGCAAAACTGGTGTCTTTGTATAGATTTAATGTTCATCAATAAATGGTATTCAGTGCTGATGGCAGTGCTGGCAGTGCTGGCAGTGTTGGCATCAGTGAAGGCACTGTTAGTGTTGCCAATCTCTGCTCCAAACGAGAGACATGTTTCATGAAAACTGCTTCGCCTCTCAATTTTGGTCTTTTGTGTCAAACATTGAGAAAAAGTAAAGCATTAATGGATGCACTTTTTGTGTGTGCAGTTTAGTGCTGTTCATCCCTTTACTGTACATACATAGATATACACACAGTATGCTCACAGTGTTTGTGATGGCCTTCTCATCCCTTCCCGTTTGTCCCACATTTTCATTCAATTGTGAGCAACAATTGCAGACGCATTGCAGCACTTCATACAAAGCGCATACTTTGTTACCTAACTTTCATTTGAGGCCAAAATGAGAGATACAACTAAATTAAGTTCTCAAAAAATATCTATCAACGAACCTATCATTTAAGAGCAGATGTAATGAGAATAACGATTGAAAACTATTGTAAAATAATTTTTTAAACACAAAACACTATTTGAATGAACGTTTGAGTGAAATACAAATTAAGCTCAAATCCGCACACATTTCATGTTAATAGTGTTAAGCAATAGCTTTTAATATATGGACAAAGATTTAAGCGAACAGTTAAATTGAAAGACAGCTCTCATATTATATCATATCTGGATTTATACAACACAAAGAGCAGGTGCTTATAGTTATACTTAACACGAGCTTATGATTGTTCATCAATGTGTTGATGATTACCATTAGGGAATCATAGGTTGTAATACTAAATGGAAAGAGAATTTGCTTTGAATGGCTTTAGAGATATAAATATAAAGGGGAGAGAGAGAGAGAAGATATGGTCGTCTCTAATATAGCGGTTGAGTTGCATTAATGAGTGATATTATTATCATCACATTTGACCCATAAGTTAGTATAGATTACACAATAGCTTATCATAACATATATTGTATATTATGAACAAATCAGAGGAGAGAATGAGTTAACGGTTCAGAAAATGTTATATTGATATCAATGAATGAAATTGATATGAAAGACGAAAATCGCAAGTTTAGTATTCAAAAGGGTTTTTGATCGTCAAAAGCCTATCATATCATAAACTATATTATATAATATATGCAACATTTGAGGCACTAATGCCTTTTAGTATGAAAACAAAAGCCAATACAACAACAAATATTCGTACAATGGATTCGTGTAATAATGAAAACTCGTCTCCAAAAGCGCACACAATCTATAAAAAGCTAACAATGAATACAATGAATAAGAGCTCATTAATTGTGTGGAAATGGAGGAAAAGTTAAAGCAATTAAAACCACTCCCAGAATAACACGTATAGCTTTCTATAGTAAACATTGTTATGTAATATTGTTATATACAGTGTCTATATTATAATACATTACA